TGACCACATTTGACTAAAAGTGAAATTCAGTGTGTGAACAGATCACCAACAAACATGGCGTCCAGATTTTGACTGCTCTTCTTCCACTCTAGACCCTAATGGCAGGTAATCTGAAAGCTTAATAGAACTTTGTATTTGGTATTTGCTGTAATTGGAGAAATACTTACTCTTTGTCTATTGTGACTTAAATAGAAATGGAAAATTAGAATAATTACATTTTTTTCAAAAGAATAGAAATCAAGAAAATAAGGTTGAGGGGGAATGTTAGGGAAGTATTTTAATGCATTGTAGAAGTTCATTTATCCAGATGAGAAGAGAAAATGTGAAGAAATTGTATATAGTTTTTTTTTCCTCCATTACTCTACATAAATATTCTTTTATTTGTTTATTTTTGATTTACCATTGCAGGCAGAAACCTTGGCAGAAGACTTGAGCTTCAGATCTGTAAATAATTCTATGTATTCTTTTTTCTTTGATGTAAATCCTTTAGCTAAAATGGAAAGTCACATCAAATGGGGTTGGTGTCCACTTTTCCTTGCCTTTCCCACCTTTCTATTGAACTGGGAGAAAGTAAATCTGGTTCAGGGGTCCCAGCAGTGCGTGTTACTTCCCCTGGCTGGGCCTTAGGAGAGGGGTTCTTCCAATTCCTCCTTGTTTCAGAGTTTCAGAGTTCTGTGATTCTTAACAAATCATTATCTATACAATGCAGAGCATGGAACACTTCTGAAATCACTAAGATTATCAAAAGCAGCTGCTGGGAGAAAGGCTTAACAAAAACAGAAAATGATCTGACTAATACCAAACTTGGATGGCTCCTTGTAATCTTCCACGAAGAGATTTTTTGGGTGTATCATTTTCGTTTGTGAACTTTGAAAACGTTTGCTAACTCGGCTCCAGGCACTTGACCAAATTACTTATTGTTGATGTTGCCTTATCTTATGTTCACTGTCTTGAACTTGGAGGAGGTATGGCTCAGTGGCTAGAGAGCTAGCCTCCTGGGCCAGGAAGATTTGGGTTCAAAGATCACTGGCTTTGTGACCCTGGGCAAGTCACTTAACCCCTCAGTTGTAGAACGGGGAGTTTCCTGTAGAAGTGAACATCACACATCCATTCCTTATCCCCATCCCCCATCCCCTGTCACATCCCCAGATTGTCGCCAAAGCTTCAACACCTGGGCACTTGGACTTAGGATGTAGAATAGATATTTCCCTTTGAGTGGGGGAATTCTTACATTATGATAAAGACACATACAGATGGAAACATGGGGCTATGGGACTGGGAAAATCACAGGAAAGGGGCCGTGTTTCTGTCTCCTCTCCCCTTCTCCTTTAGGGATTTGTAGCCTAATATTCAGTCACTCTTAGGCCAAGCCTCATTTCATGTTGTCAGCTGATTATCAAATTTTGCCAGTGGTAGAATCTTTATAAAATCATTTGTAATAGTTTTTTTTTTACTTGCCTACAACTGATGATACTAAATATCATAATGCAGCTTTTAAGAGATTTTAGACCAAATTTCTTCTAGAACGAACAATATTATGGGCATTCTACATATTGAAAAAAAATTTTGTTTTTCGTTGAAGTGCTTTTTTAAAAGCTTATGGTTTTTTTGGAGGGAGGTAAATAGATGCCTTAGTCATTTTGGTAGAATCATGAAATGTTTTAGAAATGTAATAACTGTACATTGGGACCACTGAAAATGAACCCAAGCTGGAGGTAACTAGGTTTTTGGATGTTTGTTTCATTAACAGCTTTATTAACAACTTTATACCTTCCCAGTTTTACCTAACTACACATAATTTCTGTTGCCATACAGATACTTAAAGTGAAAAATAATTAGTGATAATAAGACCTATCAGGCGTATACTTTACAGAGACAGACGCCTGGTTGATGCCCTAAGCCAGGGGACAGAACAGCTTAAGGGGAAAAGAGCATTGACTGAAGATAGTCTGGTCCTCACTCAGTTCAAATCTTTCTGACTCCTGTACGTGTGGCTTTAGGCAAGTCACTTATTCTCCCTGGGCCTCGATTTCTTCATTTGTAAAATGAGGGGATTGGACTAGATGGCAGCTAATACCCCTTCCAGCCCTCAGTCTGTGGTAATGTCACTGGAGGCATTCAGTTCCATGAGAACAGAGCTGCCCAGGAGCTGTCTTGTTTGGAAAAGAGGGCCCAGACAAAGGCAGCCAGGCTGGCCAGAGCCTCCTGGACTTCCGGATTGAGCCCTTCACAGCACTGGGGCCATGTTGCCCATAACACTGCCAAATAACTGTCTGGACGACCTTAGTGGGGTC